CCGCTGATTGGTGTCGCCATTACGAAAGATTGTACACATTAGAAAATATTGCTCAAGTATTATAATTTATACAGCTACGAAAGCCTGAAGACGGAGTTACGATAAACACGAACCGAAAAAAAAACATCATTACACGGAGTTGTTGAGAGGCATGCATCCAAGATGTAATGCGCGGGATCGGCAAATTTGGATTGTGGAACATGGGTCCTTGGTGGGACTTGCAAGACAAGGGTGTCGCAGAGTAAGGCTATTCATCGCCACGAAAAGTCAGCTCGACAGGTCACAAGTACGAATAGCGTCTCCAACTCTTCTTCGACTCTCTTTTCTTGCTGTCCTGAGTCTCACTGCTGCCCGTTGATGGCTTTGGGAGAGTCAAGAGTCCAACGATTTTCTTCCAGGTTCTCCGCTTGTCATTCTTGAGGCCTTCGTTCTTGCGTTTGGTTTTGGAGTTTTCGTCTCGTGGACATGTATTCTTCAGAGGTATAGGACGTACGTGTTCCTTGTCTTCGTCTTGACTATTGTCCTGTACTTGTTCTTGAAAGCTTGATGTTGACGTTGAGTTTTCTTGCGAAATTTGAGGGTAGCTATCACGAGACGAATCGTTGATGATTGTAACTGAAGAAAAGCGTACTTGTTGAGCTTGAGTAGAATAGCGACTTGCTTTCACAAGAGAGTTGGTTCTAATATCCGCACATTCTTCAACTGAAGTTATAGTTGTAGGGGTAGGAGCGAATGACACAGATTTCCGTTGTGGATTTGAGGAAAAGGTGGTATGACTGGTGATCGAAAAACGTTTTGGGACGTCAGCGAGTTGAGATATCCGCCTCGACATGCGTTTGAGCGTCTTCAAGTCCACCTTGGCCTCGTTCTCTACGTCAGCTTCTTCCGCTTCTTCAAACCCACTCACATCCCATCCCCGTTTCCCATACCACCTCCTGGACTTCCTCCATTCGCGATCACACTTTTTGCAAGGTCTACCAAGCAGGTTATCGATTACATCATTCTCCAGACGCGCACCAGGTTGGTGAAGCTCCAGCCCAAAACCAAAACCGCATGCTGTGCATCGAGGAAGTGGAGGCAAAGGGGTCGGAGGTGTATTTGGATTGAAGTTACGGTTTCCCGCAGATTTCGGGGGAGTCCGTGGAGCCAAAGAATTGGGAGACAGTGGAGGGACCGTTGAACCGCCGAAGGGATTGCGGTACGGAGTATTGCCAGCGTTAGTGGTACAAGCGCGGATGGGAGTACGAGGAAGCTGAGAATCCACACCAGGCACATCATTATCAAAATCAAACTCTGCGGGCATACGCCTATGGTTTGATTGGATATCAATCCCACTCTCTGTGACGCCAGTAGATTCAGACTCGGACAAGCTCAATCGTACCGGTTGGGATGCTGCAAACGTCGATACATCACCTAGTTCAGGTGTTGGGAATGTCAACGTTAACATAGGTGCTCGGAAGAGGTAATGAGGTCCTGAAATCCTTGACATCTGAGACGACTGGGACCGGCCCAAACTCTCACGTTGAGAAGATCTACTGTCTTCTGCTACTGGAGAAGAACTCCCGGGTGTCTGTACAAATGACGAGAACGAGGAAAAGACCCCAGCGAAGACGTCCCTAGCCCGCGTGACATCCGTCCCTTGTGACCCATGTCGGAAATGAGTATCAGCGTCATGTTCATCAACGGATAAAGCATCAACGGCTGTCGTGATCCCCTCAGTCTCCTGCGTCATCTGTGCCTGTGCCCGGGCCCAAATCGCGCACACACTACTATCACCATCGAACTCCGGGCAAGACTCAGGAGAGGTGTCGGGGCTAGACAACGAAGAGCCGGTTGACAAAGCTGAAGAGGAAGGCGTGATAAACGGGATCAGGAACTGAGGCCGTGAAGGCTGTTGAAGCGCTTCAGGAGAAACAGACGGCTGAACAGTGGACGGGAACATCGGTGAATGAAGAGATAATGGTGTTGATTGAAAGGTCACAGGCGGTGAGGAAGGCAGTAACCGTGGGCTTAGTAGAGGTGGGAAGTCAGGAGACCGAGGAGAAAAAACATCTGAGACGTCAAGCGGTGGACGCTGGTGACTTTGATCTTGGACTAGAGGTGAACTGGATAATAACGGCCCGGAATCACCAGTGAGAGATGATGCACTGCGAGTAGACTGCGTTTCATTAGCATTGAGTTCAGAACGTATTGTATGCCACTCACTATTCCACTCAATCCCGCCCCGATTTCGACTGCGACATTACTATTGATGTCCCAGGAACTTTGTGCATCGAGGCCTCCAACATAACTCCCACCTGACACACAATAATCAACCTCATTATGGGCGTTGGCCGTGAAGGCAGAAATCCTGCCCTTACTACGCTTCAAACTCCTCGACGAACCAGAGCTGGAATCAGTAAAGGCGGTGTCTTTGGCACTGGGCAGGCAAAGACCTGCATCGACATCCGGAATAGCGGGAGGAAAATCAGCAGACTTGAGCGTGTCAGTAGTGATTTCAAGGGTTGCACGGACAAGGGAGGAGGAAACCGTTGAAGAGATATTCACAGCTGAAGTTTCAGGCGCAGTGGAGATTCTATTCGGCGGGAAGGTTCATCAAGAGGGTCGAAAAGAAATGGATCAATCAGGGCAGTGAAGACGTTAGATTTCTATCATCAGACAGTGAAGAGATGGACTCGACAGACCTTTTGACGCGCGCCATTGCTGAGTCAGGAATACAGTTCGCAATGGTCATATCCGTGTACTGCGCCAGCCCCGCATCACCAGAATCAGTGACAACATCCCTTACGCCGATGGTCTTGGCACCTCCATCTCCGAATACACTACTTGTCTCTGCCTCTGTATGAGAGAAGTATTGTGAGTCGGATACGGAGGCACTGCCAACACCTCCAAAACTATCAGCAACGCCTGTGCACGCGTAAACGGTGCAAGCGATATCCATGCGTTGGTCCCCAAAGAGACCACTCCCGGTATCACGATCGCTGCCGGTCATCACATCTTTGTATTCCTCTGTGTTATGGTTTGACTCGTTGTCGTCCTTATTCTTACTCTTCCCGGCTTTCTCAATAGAGAGAGGTTTCGTCGCTCCTAATTTCGCCGGTACATGAACGATACTTGAGTCCTGTTTCGGCCGAGATCCCGCATTTCTCTTTGCTGACCGCGGTGGCCGAGAAGGTTTCAGAGGGGTAGTATCAAATGGACGATCTACCAGCAATGACAACTTCAGCCCACGGGAAGGTCTTTCAGCGGATCTTGGTGGAATTGGAGGCTTTTCCGTGTGCTTCGATGATTTGAGAGTATCTCTATCGTTGATTCTTGATCGTGACTTCGACTGAGAACGGGAATGATATCCCTGTGTCGACCTCATTCTGGGCCTTGTCCGAGAGCTAGATCTAGATCTCACTGAAGGAGACTGAGTTCTGGCCCTAGCCCTTCCCCTTTCTTCCTCCGTCGTGGAGTGGTCAGCGGTCCTGCTAGCAAGACTGGACCCAACTAAAAATGGATCTTCCAAAGAGGATTCGTAAAGGCTGGGAGAAGAGCCGGGAATAGAAAGAAATATCGAGTCTGGATCCGAAAGTGGGATGGACACGTCAGGTGTCTGTATAAAGGAGTCTGTGATTGACATGAAGATGTCTTCAGTCTCATCACTGGTCATACTACGGGGCGAGGAAGAGAGCGAGGCGGAATGTGACGAAGGGGCGGCTATGTCCTGTATAAGACCAAGTGTTGGCACTGGCTTGCGCCAGGACAAAGGTTTCCCAGAGGTGAGTTTCTCAATTCTTTGCTTTCGAGAAGGGTTCGTATTCTCGTTTTGTCGAGTTCGATGAGAGGGTTGATGTCCGGGACTTTCCGGTCTGGTTGAAGATGAAGATGGGATTTCCTATGAACGCCGTTAGCTGAAATAAAGAATCGGGTACAGGATGCATACTATGAACGAAGGTAGATTGGTACCGGAATATGACGCTGGTTTTGCACGGGAGGTATGAGAGGCTGAACGAAGCCTCGGTGGAGATAGTTTGTGTGAAGAGGCTCCGGGTCGTTCAGGTGAGGGGGATTCCTATATGTGAAGCTAGAGTCAGAACCACGATTGGACTCAATTAAGAAAGAGGCGCCTACAAGTAGCGAAGCGGTGGCCGCAGTCATCAAGTCAACGCTAACACTGCGGTCAGCAGCGGGATGATCTATGATAAGCGACCTGATCTGCAATATGTCGTGACAAGGAGTATACATTAGGCGTTTTGAAGGGTACTCACTGAGTTCTCGTAGGGACAATCCAGGTCACGGCACGCTGAAGTATTCCTTCCGTCTCTAGATTGACGCCTAGAAGGACTTTTCAATGGCGACCGAGAGGAGCGGCTGTTGGGATGTTCTGAATGGAGACTAGATACTCCTGAGAAGCGTCCTAGTGTGAGCCCAGATATCGAGTTTGGTAGCGAATTCGAAGGGCGAGATCGACTTTGCGCGGTTGGCAAAAGAGTACGGTATGGTTCGTGTGATTTTGGACGTGGGCGGCCGATAAACGTTGGCTTCCCGGTCAGCTCACCAAATTCTGTAAGAGTTCTGTTGAAATTGGAGACTATGCGATAGGATAAGCTATGGTGGTATGCATAGCAGATCAAGAGACATACCTGGTGTCCTCGCATTGCTGATTGAGTACTTGTTCAACACGCCAGTGTGGTATATGGGATCTGGGTGAGATGGCGTAACTTTGAAGGACTGTAAGAAAAATTTTCAGCACGATTAACGCTATTGAACTCTGTAAATATGTTGGAAACAAACCGGTTTTGGCGAGATTATCGTATAAAGAAGGTGTAACGTAGAGTCTAACATGGCTAAAGGTCAACTGAAGGTGGGCGTCGCGAGCAAGTTTGTCACGGTCTGACAGTGAGTCCCTTGATCGTGTTACGGGTCACGTGATGCGTATAAAATGTGACATTACTGTCGGGAAAACTCTTTTGGATTCAGAGTTATCTATTTGACCTCTACGTCGCCAGAGACCTGCCCGCCTAGCTCAATCGGATAGAGCGTCAGACTCTTAAATATTGGGCATCTGAAGGCTGCGAGTTCGACCCTCGCGGTGGGCTACTAAGCTTTTTTCTTTCTCAGCTTGTAAAGCCCTTCAAGCTGTCAAGTCGGGAGGTTTCCGAGCCTTAACAAGATGATCTGACACTCATCTACTTGCCGCATTTGACTTTTCATAAACCTCTTTCCCGGTTATATTCTTGGCCACATTGATAATGATTTATGTGGCTTGATAACCCCTTTTTTCTCATATACTGGCAAAGTCCGTCTTAAAGTTTCGACCGAATCAAGACGCAAATGCGCTCGAAAGGAGCTTTAAAATCGGCGGTACACACACTTGCCTTCGAAGACCTCCGGCTAAAATTTCGTTTCCATAAATCCAGAGAATCTGACATTAGGATTGAATCCGGTCACAGCAGGTATGATGACTCAATCTTCAGTATGTACTTATCTAAACTGAGACTACCTTGCCTCAGGATTACCTGTTGCTATTGGCCCAGAACCATACGACTCGCGGATTTGGTATTGGAGGCGTGAGTGACCCTGGAGTAATCTTACAAACGAACGCACTACCCCGTCGGTGCGCCCACCGCCACATATTCCTCCTTACAAGCGATGTGAATTTTCAAGAGGTTGAATATGTTCTGGAGATTTCCCTACTCCGTCCGTACAGTTGCCAAAAGCGTATCACATCAACATCAGTTGTCTACACCAAACTTGAATGGCTCCCGGACACACTTACTATTTATATCCCTAACCTATGCCGCTATATCTTCAGCTAAAAGCTAATCCACTTGACCCTCGCGGCCGAGCTCCCCAAAGCCACTCAAGATGTACACGATCTTGAAGCACATCTCAACTCTCTTGCTCTTTTCCAGCATCGACACTGCTTTTACCAAACCTTCCCTAGAGCGAACGACGTCACCAACATCGGCTGAACAAGCTTGCCAACAACTCGAATCCACCCTCAACGTCGATCAAACCATCGTCGTTTTTCCTGGTTCAGAACTATACGACGCAGGCGCCACTTCCGCCTGGAATGCTGCTAATCAACAGCTTCGGCCAGCCTGTATAGTCTTTCCTGCCGACGCAGGACATGTACAAGTGGCAATGAAAACCATCTTCGATGCGCAAGTCGACTACGCTGTCCAGGCCGGCGGACATAGTGGTATGAAAGGCTGGAACAAGTGGGAAATCGTTGATATCACTCTCCGATCTCACTTGACTGATTTTTTTCTCCTCAGCGTCCAAGGCGGCATCTTGATCTCATTCTCCTCTATGACGGCCATCTCGTACAATCCTGAGAGAGATACGATCACTTTCGAACCGGGAGTCATCTGGGCTGACGCAGTAGCCGGTCTTGAATCCGAGGGCGTATCTGCAGTCGGAGCTCGGTATAGGCGAGTACCACAAGTCCAGATTCTCGACGAAATCATCTTTTAACTCATCAGATTCATACAGTGATGTAGGCCCAGGTTTCCTCCTTGGTGGTGGGATTAGCTTCCTCTCCCCATCACACGGCTGGGGAGCTGATAACAACGTTGAACTTGATGTGGTACTAGTGAACGGGACATCCGTCACCGCTACTGCAGAAAATGAATATGCCGATCTGTTCAAAGCTTTGAAGGGGGGAGGGAATCGCTTCGGAATCGTTACCAGATATGAAGTTCGAGCAATCCATACTGGGACAGCAGAAGATAAGACATGGTATGGAGGTCTAGTGACCGTAAGTCGTTAATAATATTTCCGATCGATATTCAATCAATCCTTGGTTAACCTCCATTAATGTTGTCAGTTCCCGAAATCTTCACACGAAGCCTTGCTAACAGCTACTGCACATTTTACATATAACTCAAAAGATGGCAACGCAGGTAAGAATATCTTGTACGTTCTCAATCACCTGAGTCCCGAAGTCTAATCTTTACGTGTTTCAAGTCCTCTTAAACTCATATGATCACGTCGGTGACTCAGTTATCGGCAACGCTTATATGTTCTACAATGGATCTGATTCAATCTTCAATCAAACGTTCTCCGAGTTCCTTTCCATTCCTGCAAACACCGTCTCCTTGGGCCCCCTCAGTTACGTTGACGTATCTAACACCCTTAATGCATCTACCGACGAAAGCGGTCACTTGCAACTAATGACGGGTACGGCATTAGAAGGCAAAGCCGAGGATGAATCGATCGAACCGTATTTGAAAACGTATCAACTTTGGGACAACTTCAGTACTACTTTCTCGGACGAGTTGACTTACAGTGTCATCGCTATCTCGCCGATCACAGAATCCCAGATTCAGATCGGTAGAGAACGAGGAGGAAATGTCATGAATCCTCCTTTGAAAGGGTTCGTCAACATCATGCATCAAGTAGCACTTCCATTAGGGGTATCTGAAGTTTCGGATGACATACAAGCAGGGAGGGTGAATTATCTGCAGCGGTGAATTTTTTTGTTTCTGTTCCCGTTCATGAATCATGACTATATATTGATTCGTTCCCGAAGAGCTCCCATAGATCCTGATTTCCCCTTGAATATAAACGAGTGTGATGCCAGTCAAAATGTTTACGCGACATACTCCGAATACAATTTTTTGAAGGCAACTTATGCTAAATATGATCCCAGCGGGCAAGTATCCTTGCTTTTTCTGAGCCGGATAACCGTTAATCAAAAAATTTTCTCGCAACAGATTCAATCTAGCTCACACTGATGGTCCAATCGGATTATGAGTGCGTTAGCACAACACCGATTGCGGACAAGTTGAATGAACTGGATTTACCGTATGGCTTATTTGTTTCTCCATTGGGTTATGTACTCGATAATCCGATATTTTATGATGAAGTCAAACTTCCTAGTTCTGAGAAATTTCAATGCACGTTGGTGAGTCGCAAAGGGTACGGCGTTAAGACCAGGTACTTGCTTGAGAGTAGGGAAATCTTTCCAATGGGCCAAATGTATCTTTTGACTCTTGGCGTTCATATCATTGGCATCGATTTTTCGAGCCTCCAAGTCAACAATGCGCTACTAACGACTTGCTAATCTTAATGAATGTCGATCGTCGAGCTATGAATCGATCAGAATGCTGAGAATCTAAACCTGGCTCATAGAGCCCCAGGTCGATTTGGCCACCTCTCGGTATAAAGACCATAGCACAAGGAACAAGGGAGTAAAGAATAGAGAATCAACGGAGGACCCTTGTCCTCCTTCAATACGCATTCAGATGGTACCTCCCTTGACGACATTATTGTAATTCACTTGACGTTTTGCAAATCCTTCTCGGCCTTCGAGTTACAGTCAGTAAATATCATGCAATCATGGTATGATACTTCGATATTCACCAGGTTGCATCGATATCTAGTGAACCGAGGGGTTTTGACTTTAAAATGAAAAAAGTCCGTTGACTTTGGAGTCAATGGCAATCGACTGCTCGAGTGCCCAGACGACGTTCAAGTTTTAAGGGCCTACGCACTGCCCACCAATGGTCCTAAATGATAACAGTCATTGATCGATGATCCGTCACCACATAACTCAATGATGAGCTTATTCCACTGAATGGCAGCAGATTAACAAAGGGGTCGAGTCTTCAAGTATATCAATGCAGTGAACGGAACACGTACGAGTTCATAATAGAGGATATCTAGATATAGAGAACAAGGATGTGATAGACTTCCTACCTAAAGAGAAACCTAGAACATCGATGAGTATCAGGATCCTTAGTAAGTCCGATGACTTAAAGATCCTCATTGAGGATCTTTAATAGACGTACACTCAGAGTTTCAGTCGAATATTGTCCAATCTACGACCTTCCCAACTTCGACTTCTGCTGGAGCGCAGCACTCCTCACTGCGGCCACTCAATGGAGTGGGTCCAGTCAATCACGAGTATGTTATATGCGAGACTCAATACAAATTCATCACCGGCCAAATACTGCGCACAGCTGATTTAGCGGGAACTGTCAAGATGATAGCTTCATCATATGTATTTACTAGATAAACGGTATAAAAAGGCCTCGAGTCCAATGACAAAGTCGTACCTAGCTTTGATCACCCCCTGAACCTCTATTCGTCGCTCGAAATGTAAGTACGCCAATGTTTATTAAATACCTTACTCTGATGAGAGTTATTTCGAACGATAAGTACTTGAAGATGATCATTTCCAATGAAGATACCATTACTCATAAGGATCAAGCGTTCAAAACTACTGACTCCACTACAGTTGACGCCCCACCGCCCGACTATGCCTCTGCCATTCAGACTACCCAGACCCAGACCCCAGAACCAAAAAAGCGTGCGCCATCCTCGTCTCAGGCCGACAACTATATCTCAATAATTCAGCCTGTCGGTCCGATCGAGTGCACCTATGTCCTGGACCCTTTTCTTCACGTTCCACAAGCATTACTGCCCCCGTTAAGCTACGGAGAAACAGAGTGGATGAGGAAGAACCTAGCCTTAAACGGGAAGCTTGGCACAATCAACGCTGATATAACGTTACATCGTTCAGAAGGGCCTCAAGACGGTGACGCTGCTGTGATGGAGGGAAGGATTCAAAAAAAGAGAATAAATATGGAGGCTCAAACATCTGTGGGAACAATAAACTTCAAGCTGGTATGTTATCATTTACGTCTCGCAAAATCGATGAAATATTTATCAATTGGACTGGGCAGAGGGAATCTCCTCCCTCAAAAAAGTGTCTTCCGTTTTCCTTATCATGTTCAGCTCATATAGGGTCAATCGTCCTTTTTATACCACGGTCCTTCCGAGGGTTCGTAGATGTTCATGCGACCATAGGTCAGGTCAACCTCACTCCCGGGGTTGCTGAGAGGGCACGGTGGATAGGCTCACGTCTAGGAAAGAGAAGATGTTTTGTAGGTGATTTCAGGGCTTTGGCGGAGTCCCAAAATGGAATTGAAGAAAATGACTCTAAATGGACTGGAGATGAGGTAGATCTGCAGACTTGGGTTGGTTCTATAGAGATTGCATATATTGACGAAACGGTTGTTGGACGTTCGCTTTAGTATACTCGCCATATTCCAAGTCTTAATATCTTGACGGAATTTCACAAGTTAAC